CCCGCCTGCTTCCCGGCAGGGGGAGCCGCAGGGACGCACCTGAGCCCCAGCCCCGCTCCCCCAGGGCGCTGAGATGTGCAACAAGTTAGAACAGTCCCCGGCCGCCTTTCGGGCCGCCACGGCTGCCTGCTGAAGCCATTTGTGCCCCCGCAGCAGCTGAGCGGCGCGTTCCAAACAGGCTTAGAGGTGACGGGCGGAGAGGCTTCGCTAGGGTGGAAGAGAAGCGTCCGCTGAGAGAGGAAAGTTTTCAGTCCTGCCCAAGGCTTCAAGCGGAACCCTAGCCGAGTTCGCTCTGTGCCTTTCTTCAATAAACCAATAAATACTTAACTGCCAGCCGCTGTGTGCCAAGCATTGGGTACCGCAGATAGATCAAATGTGTTCTCTGCCCTCCAGGAGCTGGTGGGAAAGAAACCCTCCTAAGTAGCAAATACCATCAAAATAAAGGAAATCACAGAAATGGAAAATTAGGAAAGAAGTCATCTACTATGCACCTATTGTATGCTCAAAACTGCTCTAAGCATTTTACATGCGTCATTTTGCTTCAGTCTTCATCTGTTTCTAAGGCATTCCTATCCCGATTTCACAGATGAGAAAACCAAGTCTTAGTTGTTTAATTGAATTGCTCAAGTCACATAACTAATAAGTAGTGGAGCTAGGGTTTTTAAACTGCCAAATTGACTCTCAAACCTTCTGCTTTCTACTGAGAGAAGATACTACGGTATGCTACACTTTGTGAGTACAAATGAGCCTAAAGCTTCAAAGACAAGGTGAAGCCTGAATGTTTTTTTGAGAGATGTTCAATAGAAGCTCCTTAGGTAGCCAGAGATATTTTTCTTGGAGTTGTTGTGAATTTTTTTTCTTTAGTGAACTTTTTTTTAATCTGAAATAATTTCTGAGCAAATAATTTAGCTAATACTCAACTCAGAATTTTCTGAGAGCACCAAGATGATATGGCTTATTAAAAAAAACAAAGGCTATGTAACACTAATATTCAAGTCAACTTTTAAAAGAGGAGGGGGAGTCCTGTGATATCACTATCCGCCCCCACCTGTTTTAATCACTCTTTCCTCCCAGTTCTTGTCAGTTCACAGCACATACCTGGGTGGGATGGAAGGCAGTTCCATACTGGGACCCAGTGAGCCATAGAGGGCTTAATGGGATTTACAAATGCTCTGAGTGGCTGTTTCCATCAGTAACGTGTCTGTCTGAATCACAGTACTTACGTAGGAGAAAAAATCCAATATCTCCATAAAAATCACTCATTTCTCACTTTCCCAAGCAGACACACCCAATATAGTTTTTACAGAGGAGACAGCCTCCTTACCTGGTGCCCATGGCCCAAATCTCCCTCCCAAATGAGACTCTTGCTCCTCAAATACTTCACTCACCTCAAATGCCCCTGCCCTAACATTGTTCTAACAATGTTCCAGGTACACTCCCATCTCCAGGGCCTGCTTGAATCCTTCCCCCTTGCTCCAGTGTCTGCCCTCTTCCCTAATTTCCTCAGATTTTTTCAAACACCATTCTTTCAGATCCAAATAAATTCCTAACTTGTCGATCAAGCTTTCTCAGCATCCTAGAGATTTTTCCTGCCTCCAGTTCTTCCTACATATACCACTCATTGCTTTATATTGTTGCATCATTTACAAGCATGTTCTGTCTCCCAGATTTGAAGATCTTAAAGGTAAGGACTACATTCAAGTTCTCCACTTCTGTCTGCTCTCAATGGACACTTTTCAAATGTGCATTAATTATAATGGTACTGGCCATCAGTGCTTCAAAACACTACAATTTCCACTCATAAGAAAGAGTATGGCACATGCCTCTAATCCCAGCACTTCAGGAGGCTGAGGCAGGAGGATCCCAAGTTCAAAGCCAGCCTCAGCAATGGCGAGGCATTCAGCAACTCAGTGAGACCCTGTATCTAAATAAAATAAAAAATAGGACTAAGGATGTGGCTCAGTGGTTGACTGCCCCTGAGTTCAATCCCCTGGTACAAAAAGAAAGAAAAAAAAAAAAGAATATGGACTCAGAAGTCAGATTGAGCCTGATTCAAATCCTAGTGCATCCACTTACTGATCATGTGACCTTGGGAAAGTTTCTGGACCTCTCTGAGCCTTAGTTTTCTTGTTTATAAAACAGGAATGGTAATAGGGCTATTGTGGAACTCTAGTGTGGTAATGCTTAGCACAGGGTAAGAGTGCTTAGTGTGTCATACATACTGAATAAATAGCTGGTGATATTATATTTATTATTACTGATAGTAATGATGAAAAAACAAAAGACGGGTGTGCTAATAGATTTCAAAGAGTACTTGTTTAATAAAAGTCATTGTCCTCCAACATGATAAAATTATCTGTCAAAGAATGTCACATTAGAGAAATTGTACAAGTGAGTAGTTCTGGGAACTTTGCACTTGAGTGAAACTTCATAGCTCTGAGATTTTGCCATCCAATACCAAATGTCTGGGACCTCCACACAAAGTTCCCAAGTATATAATCATCTAAACATTCACTGCTTATTTCCAGAATTTGGGATGACAAAGCTAATTCAGTCTTCTAGAACACTGCAGCTGGGAGTAACGCCAAGGACAGCCCTCATTCTGTGCAGCAGGCCTCATACAGTCACCTGATACAAGGAAGTCACCTGGCAGGGAAGTGGCAGAGCTAGAATTAGCAACCAAAATATCCTGACCTCTAGTTCAGAGCTCAACACCACCAACACCTCATTGGCTCCTCAGAGAAAGAGTGGCACTGGGCAGCTTGTGCCCCGCATACCAGCAACACTGGGGTTTGATCTCCTCCAGCTGCATTTGTTCCCAGGAAGTCCACTGAGCGGTCAGAGTTATAGACTGCAGGAAGAAGAGAGTGACTTGTCCCATGGTTGTTAAAATGTAAACTGGCAACTCTGTTGCTAAAACCTCCTGGCTCCTCCAGGAGCTGCTATCTAAATACTCCATATTCTGAGAATAGTTAATGCTCAAAGATGCTAGCAACTGCTGTAGTCTGCATCTCTTCTTGAGTGTTCACACTCTGCATTTGAATCCTGCTTCTATCCAAGTGACCTCACAGTTTTCTCGAAGGTAGCTCTGGGTAATATTAAAAAGTCACAGAACCTCCAGGAATTCATATACAGAGGTGCTTGTGTATATAGAAGCAGACAGGGTGAAAAGGTTGTATAGAACATGTCATCCTTCTGACACACTGTGGGCCTAAATATAGTCTCTTGCAGTGATGGTTTCACCTAGAAGAAAAGCAAAGAAGAGAAATAAATGTTTGTTGAGTGAATAACTGATTACCAAAAGTATAATTCAGGAATCACAGGCAGCACCATCAGTCATTTCTGAGCAACTAAAATTTTACAAACAGAATCATCACTCACCTGGCTTACAGGGCAGAGCCTGGCTAGTATTCTGGGGCTTTCTCAGATGACAGATTGTAGGAGTTTGTGGCATAGAGAACTCACAATAAAATTTGCTCAGTGGTGCATCTTGCCTGAATCAAATTTAACAGTCACAATGGTCCCCATAAAGTCACTTGGCAGAGAAGGACCATCCCTACAGAGCAGAAGCATGCCATGATTGATGAGGAAGCCCCATCAAATTAAGGCCCAGAGTAGACCCAGATGAAGTTCCCTTCCACACCTCACCTTCTATGAATTCAGCCATAACTCTTATCCTGAGGATCCAGCAGGTCTGTTACCGGCTCAGTGTGACCTCATCACACCTTGCCCTTACCTCGTCCCCACACGTGTCCTCAGAGCCTTTCACTCATTATTCACAGCCCTACTTGCCTGCCAGGGTAATGTTGAGCACAGCGACTACACTGGCTGACTTCAGGGTTCCCAAAGCTACCCCCTCTAGAAACAGTGGTGCGTGATCTCTGGGCCTAGAGCATCTGGGGTATAGATGTATAGAATCCCAGATAGCCCATTTGTTCATTGCTTACTGTGTGCTAGGGACTTTGCTAAATATTTTATAGGTGTCATCTGATTTTTATTCTACTGATAGCCAAATGAGGTAGATTTTATTATGCTCATTTCGTATATGAGGAAACGATCAAGTGACTGGTCTGAGGTCACACAACTAACAAGTCGCAGGGTGAAATTAGGACCCAAATATGTCTCACTCTACAAGCTTGTAACCTCTGCACTCTTGAGGGCTCTGTCACGTTGTCTCTCATTGCTAAGCTACAGCACTGTGCACCCACAAACACCAGATATGCAGGACTGGAGACAGCTGGAACTAGTCCCAGTCTAGCTTCATTCATCCATCTATTCATCCTTCCAGCAGACATTGACACCTACTGTGGGCCAGGACTGCAGCAGGTGCTGGGGATTGAGAATAAATAGCACAGAGATCCTGCCCTTAACATGAGGATCTTAAAGACAAACAGGACTTACTCTGGAGGCTGCTTAGTCTGTGATCGATGTATGATCACTTATACCGACAGACATCATCTTGGCAGGGAGCTCTGGTTTGGACTGAGCTGGCTCTTGGAACATGGATCACTCAAGGTTCAGAACAAGGGGCCAAGGGGCATTGCTGTTGACTCATAGTAAGTATTTATCCCAGGGGAACTTCAAACAGCAGAAAGAGTAATCTAAAACCCACCCTCTCCACCTGTCTGGAATTGCTTTTGGCTACATCTTTGAAAAACCCCACTAAAAGCGATGTTTCTGGAGCCATCCCAACTCAAGGGCAAGTGTTTTGTGTTTCTTCAGATACTAGTTTAACCTGGTAGAGAAAGGTTGGAAGGCCCTGGACAAATTCTGCTGCATGGACCAAACATCTGCTAACATTTCCTATACAGTTAGTGATACTTTTTTTTTTTCCCCTCATGGGAAACTAATAGGATTAGAAAATTGTGACTGACCCCCATGCCAAAGTCATACCACATCTGCATCCTTCTAGAAGACTGCTGAGTCAGCCCACCACATCCATGGGCTGGGAATCTGTGCACAGAAGATGGAGCTTTTCCACTGCAACCTTACATGGCAGAAGAGCAAAAAGGACTAAGGTGTTCCACCCCCCCCACCCCAGTTTTACAAAGTCACTAATCCCATGCATGAGGGCTCTGCCCTCATGACTTCATCCCTCCCTAAAGTCCCACCCCTTCTTACTGCTCATACTTTTTACAACAAATGGAGCATGAAAGGATGCAAGACTTCTGTAATAATTCTTCTGTGTCCAACAATGTTATTTACTTGCACTTTAAGTATTCTTGTTAAGAATAGAGAAGGCCTGCCCACTGGGACAGCGT